CACACACGCATCTGATCTTCTCCATTAACTATGAAAGGTGGGTGAGCCTCAATTATGTCTCCATCTGATGTCTTAATCAGTTAAATATGAGCCAGCACTATGCAATGGCAGGCAAAAATGCAATCCTAAGTTGCATTAACAGAGAGATACAATCAAGGTCAAGTGGCGTACTAATACCACCCTATAAAGCCTTAGTAAGACCACACCTAGAGTACTGCATCCAGTTTTGATCTCCACACTATAAAAAAGATGTTGAGACTCTAGAAAAAGTGCAGAGAAGAGCAACCTGGATGATTAGGGGACTGGAGGCTAAAACATACGACGAATGGTTGCAGGAACTGGGCATGGCTAGTCTAGTGAAGAGAAGGACCAGGGGAGACAGGATAGCAGTCTTCCAATATTTGAGGGGCTGCCACAGAGAGGAGGAAGGGGTCAAGCTATTTTCCAAAGCACCCAAAGACCAGACAAGGAATAATGGATGGAAACTGATCAAGGAGGGATTCAATCAAGAAACAAGGAGAAATTTTCTAACAGTAGGAACAGCAACCAATGTAACAGCCTTCAGAAGTTGTGGGAGCTTCATCACTGGAAGTTTTCAAGAAGAGGCTGGACTGCCATGGTGTAGGGCAGTGGTGGCTAACCTTTTTGGGCTCCTGTGCCAAAAATTGCTTACCTGATCGTTCTGTAATCGGTTCCTTCGGCAGGGATTCATGAGGACTCACATGCCAGCACCCAGAAGGCAATGCACGTGCCCCCACGCCCCCTGGCGCATGTGCACGCAATCACCCCCTGCCGCCCCCTTACTGCACTGCGCCTCACAACTGATTTTCGGCCCGTTTGAGGTCTTTTTGGCCTCCCAGAGACTTGAAGAAAGCCTTTGCAGGCCAAAAAATAGGCCCGTTTCGTCACAAAATGGCCCTATTTTTTGGCCTGCGAAAGCTTTCCTCAGGCCTCTGGGGGGCCAAAAAAGGCCTCAAATAAGCCCAAAATCAGCTGTGAGGGCGCGCTCATGCGCAGTGAGGTAAGTTTGCCTGCAGCTCGTGTGCCAGCACAAATGGCTCTGTGCGCCACCTGTGGCACGCGTGCCATAGGTTCACCATCACGGATATAGGGTCTCCTGCTTGGGCGGGGGGTTGGACTAGATGACCTTCAAGGTCCCTTCCAACTCTTGTTGTTCTGTTATTCTGATATCCCCCCGTATTTTCATAGGAATGGGGTGGAGGAATTTCCCATCCCCAAGAGGCCAGAACCAACCAATGACGTTCAAGACAAACTGAAAAATCATAAAATGCATGAGTTGGGAGGGACTTCAGAGATAATCTAGCTGAACCCTCTGGGTCAGTGTAAGGATCTTCATGAGGATTGGAGAATGGTGGCCACCCGAATCTGGTTTTAACAACTCCAGCAAGGAAGAAGCCACCCACGGGATGTCCAACTTTGGCAACTTTTAAGACTTCAACTCCCAGAATTCCCCAGCCGGCCCTGCTTAGCGGAATACACTAAACCTATCCCCGAGAAGAGAAATGCCAAACTGTTCCTTGGGTTTCAGTTCAGCTCCTGTCCTCTCCACATCCCTTTCTTGGCCCTTGTACTCAGGGGCGGGCTGCCGGGGGCTCGTAGGGGCTCAGGAGAGCCCTTAGCTAAGACTCTGCGGGGCTCAGAGAGCCCCCAATAACCTCAGAAAGACAAGCAGCAAGGGAAAGCTCTTAATAGGCTTAATTGAAATTCTGGGCATTCAGCCAAGAGCATTTCTCACCTGGTAAAAGTGTTGCAAGCTAGATAAACAATCCACTCAGCGCTTGCGAGGGAGAGCCATGGAGAAAATCAGACATAGCCCCTAGCCTCTGAGGGGATGAATCCCCAAATAATAAGAATCACGTAACTCACCAGAAACTCCACTAAGACTCCAAGATCCATCGCAGAATCACTGCTATTAAGCCTGGTTACACCCAGTCTTTTATTTAAGTATTAAATGCATGAAATAATAAACAACTTTTTCACACACACACACACACACACACATATATGTATGTATGTATGTATATATGTATATATATATATATATTATTCAGCTTTGTTCGGGTATTTTCCCACGTCATTGTAGTTGTGCTTTTAAAGTTGTAGCAACGTTTCGGCAGAATCTCATCTGCCATCATCAGGCTTCTGTATTGATGATGGCAGATGAGATTCTGCCGAAATGTTGCTACAACTTTAAAAGCACAACTACAATGACGTGGGAAAATACCCGAACAAAGCTGAATACCATACATGTAAGTACCCGTGAAAACTTAAGGAAACAGATATAGATATATGTATATATAGAGAGATATATATGTTTGTGTGTGTATATGTGTGTGTGTGTGTATCTGTCTATACCTATACACATACATACATACATACATACATACATACATACATACATACATACAATTAGGGGAAGAAGCAATATCGAGTTGGCCATACCCACCCAGTCACATGACCACCCAGCCACATCCACCCAGCCAGTCATTAGGGCAGAGAGCCCCTTGCTAAAAAAAAAAACATGAAGCCCACCCCTGCTTGTACTCCATTCTGATAAGCAGCTGGTATTTCTCCAATGGCTTTAGGGAAACACCAGGCACCGGGGAATTCTAGCTTGGCTTTGCACGGGATTCATCCCCGTTCCAAAGCTCTCCCCCACATACATTTAGTATGGCTGAATACAACTTGGCAAGCCAGGAGGGAAGAGAAACGAAGGGGGGAGGGTCATGGTCCAAAGAACAGTTTGGGGGAGTTTTATCGTCCCAGCCTCTGCATACTCGCTCGGTCTTTGTCCAAATAAACCGGGGGTGTGTGTCTTTTTTGGTGGGGTTTTGTCTATCTGCCTTGCGCATGGCTGGGGAAGCAGACGGAGGGAGGGGTATGTTGATTGAACTCTGATTGCAAAATCCGTGAGGCACCCAACCTCTTCAGTGAAGGGACACCAAGCCCCCACCCCCCTGTTTCCCCCCCCCCTCCAAGCTGTTGCATAGCCAAGAGATGAGTAATTTCCAAACGTGCGCTCAGATTCCCAAAAGCAGCCTTCGTGGTTGTTATGATTCCAAGCAAGGCCAAAAACATGACAGCTCTTCAACCCTGGAGAAGCCAAGATGCTCCCTCTGCCTTTTTTGAGAGTGGGGTGGGGGTGGAGTTGTGATGGGTGTGTGTGTGTGTGTGTGGAAGTGTGGAAAGGAATTGTTTTTGGCTGCCAAAAGCAGCGTTTCCTTCATTTATTTATGAAAAGATGTGCAGGGGTGCGTGGGTTTGGTGAACGTGGGGGAGGGCTGTTTGTTCTTAATCTTTTTTTTCTTTTTTTCTTTTAGCAGCCCTTGGGCCACTCTGAAAGTGCACCCTTTTCTTTTTTACTATTATGGATAAATTTCCTTTTTTTTCAAAGCAAGATGGGACGTCCCAGTGAAAGTTCAGTGTCCTGTTGAATATTTTCTTTTAATAAAAGCTTTACAAAATTAAGTTCGGTGCGTGACTTATATAACTGCAGTTTGGGACCAAAAGTTGTTAAGTGAGGGTCATGCCCAATGTTACGACCATTTTTGCCAGGGTCTTTAAGCATATCACTCCGCTGTTAAGCAAATCTGGCTTCCCCCATTGGCTTCGCTTATCTGAAGCCCCTGGGTAGTTGGTAAATGGTAAATCACGTGACCTCAGAACCGGTGGGGTTCAAAATGTTTTACTACCAGTTCTCTGGGTGTGGTGTGGCTTGGTGGGCATGGCAGGGGAAGGATACTGCAAAATCCCCGTTCCCTCCCAACCCCACTAACCTGCTTTCCAGGTCTGTTCTCCTGTGCAGGGCAACCAAAGAAAAGCCAGCCGATCAGCTGGGACTCTGGAGGCAGAGAAGAGATGGGGGCGGGGCCATTCAGAGGTGGGATTTGCCGGTTCTGCGAACTACTCAAAATTTCCGCTACCGGTTCTCTAGAACCAGTCAGAACCTGCTGAATACCACCTCTGGTTGGTCTTTGCACAAGGTTGTTCAGGACACTGATAAGCTGCTTTTTTCTCTCCGTACTGGCTTAACTTTTCAATACTGTCATTAAATGAATCGTTGTAAGTTGAGGACTACCTGGTAGGGAGATGCTAGCAGGATTTGGTGGGACCTGATGGAGGAACCTTTTGTTGTTCAGATGGCTAGCTAAAGAAACCACAGACTTGACTTACAACAGTTCATTTAGTGACTGGCCAAAGTTACAACGGGCACTTGGAAAAAATCGACTTAGGACAATTGCAGCATCCCCCATGGATGCTTGACAACTGATTCGCATTTATGACGATTGCAGTGTCTCGGGGTCACCTGATCCCGTTTGGCGACCTTCTGAAAAGCCGTGGGGAAACCAAATTCACTTAAGAACTGTGTGGCTCATTGAAGAACTGTAGAGTTCCGCTTAACAAACATGGCGAGAAAAGTCGTAAAATGGGACAAAACTCACCGAACAACTTTCTCCCTTGACAACACAATTTTGGTCTCCGTTGTGGTCATAAGTCAAGGATTACCTGTAGTGTGTTCCACCATCAACCGGTTTAACACCTCCATTCTTGTGTCCGGAATCCATAACTACTTGTAATCTCAATTTTGGGAAAGTGACTTCAACACCTGGAAGTCCTTTCGTCGGGGGTGGCCTTCAGCCAGTTTGTACTAGTTCAGGTGAACCGGATGTTAATTTTACGTCCTGTTCAATGAACCGGTAGTTCTGATGAGCGTGCTGGCCCTGCCCCACCCTGCCCCATTCCTCCCAGGGGTCTCCACGTGGCCCGTTTGGGATCCCAGGTAAGTGTAGGGGATGCATGGAGCTCGGGGAGGTGGAAACCTGGCCTCCCAGAGGGTTGTGGAGGGCAAAAACGGGCCTATTTCCCGCCTCCAGAGATCCTCCGGACCCCGGGGAGGTTGAAAACGGACCCCCCACAGCCCCTTTTTGCTCCCAGGATCGTGCAGGAGGCCGACTAGGCCACGCCCACCCATGGCCATGCCCACCCAGCAACCGGGCCAAGAACCGGTTGTTAAATTATTTGAAGCCCACCACTGCCTTTCTTGATGTTGAGTAGTTTCAGGAAACTCGGGGGGCGGAGGGGGGGGAATCAATATTTCTGTTCCTGGAGTGATAAATTCTGTTTTACATCCTCTGCTTTTTGTCTAGGCTGAGCCAACCAATCCGTGTCCATTTCTTGGAACCGGATGGGACGGTCCTTTTTGAACATCCTATACAACAAGGCACCGTCTTCCAAGATGGTATGGTAAGTGCACCACAATCAATGAGAATAGCCCTGGAAGGGACCTTGGAGGTCTTCTAGCCAGCCCTTTGTGATGGTTGCAGTGTCCCAGGGTCACACGATCCCCTTTTGCAACCTGCTGACAAGCAAGGTCAGTGGGGAAGCCGGATTTACTTAACAACCTGGTTACTCACATAACGACTGCAATGAGTCAATTAACAACTGTAGCAAGAAAGGGCATGGTTGGTTGCCTGGTTGCTGGGTGGGTGTGGTGGGCGTGGCCTACTGCAACTTCTGGGACAGCCATTTTTTTTTTGCCTTCCCCAGAGTCCGGAGGCTTCCCTCAGGCCTCTGGGAGGGCGAAAACAGCCTTCCCCAGGCTCCAGAGGACCGTTTCTGAACTTCTGAAACTTCTGGTTCAGCCCATTTTTCGCCCTCCCCAGAGCCTCTGCACAGACCCTGCATTTACCTGCATCCAAAATGGGCTACATGGAGACTCCTGAGTGGGGAGGGATGGTGTGGGCGGGGCCAGCTAGTCGGTTTAACTACCGGTTCGTTCAACCAGATGTAAATTTAAAATCTGGTCTGGCTGAACAGGGCCGAACCGGCTGAACCCCACTCCTGGTTTTGGGGGGCTCTAGGTTTCAATCCACACTTTGCCTCTTCTTTTTTTCTAGATCTGTGGCATGTGGCGGAATTTGCAGAAGGCTTCGATCCGATTGTTGAAGGTGGATCAGATGCGCATAACCCTAATCACCCAGACTCATCCTGCAGGGGAGGTTCATGGCCAGATCGTGAAGCACCGGGCCCTCTTTGCAGGTAATCTAGGGTTTAGGCAGCTAGGGTTATCCTGGGGAACTTTTCCAAGATCTGGGAAATTTTTAACTTTCCATGTCACACAAAGAGTCTACAAACCTGTTTCAAAAGATAAGGCACCCTTAATGTAGAATATCATCTCAATCTACTTGGACAACCTAAATAAGAGTTGAACTTGACCGCCTCCAGCTTTGTGGCTTTTCTTTTCTTCCAGATATTAAACTACAACTCCCAGAATTTCCAGTCATTTGGGATTTTGCTGCTAAGTATCCTGGGACTTGTAGTTCAAGACCCGTGATGGGACCTACAATGAGGAAGTCCGTGTTTGAACGTTGAAATTTAGGGTGTCGATAGATTGGATTTGGTTGCAAGCTTTCAAGATGTAGATCAGGGGTATCCAACCTTGGCAACTTTAAGGCTTGTGGACTTCAACTCCCAGAATTCCTCAGCCAGCCGTGTTGGGGAATTGTGGGAGTTGAAGTCCATAAGCCTTACAGTTGCCAAGGTTGGATACCCCTGCTGTAGAGATTACAAGAGATAGCGGTGAAGAAATAAGAAACAACTGTTAGGAAAACAGAAATGTGTGAGAAAGAAATTCAAGATTGCCTTGGCTTCCCTGTCTTCGGTATAAGAGAGAGAGAAGAAGAAATGCTGCTAGGTTTTAAAAATTTAATATTGTAGTCTATATCAATATTGTACAATTCTTATCTTTCTTGTGGTGTCTTTTCCCTCACCTGGTTTGTCCTGAGGGGCTGACATGAGTTTATTTTGTCTCACAAACTACCTAATAGCTCTCAGAACATGGGAATAGACCCACAGTTATATCCAGGGGTGGGCTTCAAAAATTTTAGCAAGGGGTTCTCTACCTGGTTGCTGGGTGGGCGTGGCCTAATTGGCCTCCTGCACCATGGCAGAGGAGAGGTGTTTTTGCCCTCCCCGGACTCCGGAGGCTTTTCTTGAGCCTCCAGGAGGGCAAAAATGGTCTCCCCAGGCTCCGGAGGCTCTCTGGAAGCTGGAAATGGGTCCATTTCCGGCCTTCCCAAACTTCTGGGAGGCCCGTTTTACACTCTCCCCAAGCCTCCGCACGCACCCTGCATTTACCTGCATCCAAAATGGCCACATGGGGACTCCTGGGAGGGGAGGGGCAGGGTGGGCGGGGCCAGCCAGGAGTGAGATTTGGGTGTTCTCCAAACTGCACAGAATCTTAGCTAGGGGCTCTCCTGAATCCCTGCTAACCCCCAGCAACCCACCCCTAGTTATATATGCCATCCTGAGCCAGAGAGAGAGAGAGAGAGAGAGAGAGAGAGAGAGAGAGAGAGAATAAGAAATGATGGTGTCTATAATCCCAATTTCTTTCTTTCATTTTTTTTACAAATTTTATTAAGTAAATGTTAAAATATTGGACCCACTGGGACTTTTCTGGCATTGTCTTTGCCATACATACCATAACATAGAACAAATAAGCTTCTACTTATCAGACATTGCTAAATTTATACTATTAACATATCCTGTATATTCATTTGTATTTATAACATAAAACCTCATGATTTACTATTTCTATACAACCGTTTTATCCACTATACTCCATTGTATTTACATAAATATCATCCAATATCAATTCTGCACTTTGTCAATATTTTCTATAATTCCGACTCCTTTCCCTCAGATCCAACCATTGGTACATTTTATTCCAAACTTCACAATATTCTGTCTCACCTTTATTTTTAAGTTCTAACGTCAGTCTGTCCATCTCTGCACAGACCAGTATTTTCTTTATTGTCTCTCTTTCAGAGGGAATATCTCTATTTTTCCCAATTTGGGGCATAAACCAATCTTGCAGCTGTTATAATCCCAGTATCTAACTACCTCCAGATATTTGAATTTGCCCCGGACCCCATTAAAATAATGTCACATTTTCTTTTGTTGTTTCAGAGACTTTCAGTGCCATCTTGACATCCGTGGACCCAACTCACCTGAACATGGGAGGCATCGCTATGCTCACCCTGAGCGACACAGAGAACAATCTGCATTTTGTCCTGGTTACTAAGGGCTTTCTGGCATCGGCAGACAAAAGTGAGCAGGGAAGCAGCGAGCCATGACTGGAAAAAAAAAACGCTCTCATCCAATTAGTTAAGATTAAACCAGTCCAGTCCAGTGGGTTGCTGCCAGAGTTTTGATGGGATGTATATCACAAAGAGATGGTTGAAGATCAAATGTGAATTTAAATTATAGAAGAATAGAATAGAATAGGAATAGGAATAGGAATAGAATAGAATAGAATAGAATAGAATAGAATAGAATAGAATAGAATAGAATA